GCGGCAAAACTATTTATAAAAATAATGAACAAACTACAATCCACCAGTATTAAAAAACAAGAATGATTAAATGCAGGTTATTTACTCAGTTACCCGGATAACAAGAATTACTCCACCGGAACAACACTTGCTCAGTGCTGGAGTTGTAATGGTGGTAGAATGTCCAGGAATAAAAGCGCTAAGAGGTACCGTACCACTGATGGATCCTAGGCTGCTTGGATGAAGGTTCTTATGCTTCAAGCATTGTTGACATGGAGGATTCAAAGAATTACGAGCAAAATCGTCCGAAGCCTGGCGAGATCCAGAGGTCAAGAGGGGAGCCTTAGCTACTGGTACTGTGTTGATACGCCGAGGAGTCACACGGAAGATACACGAACGCGCCATTGTGGGAAATTCACGGTAGGAAGTTTGTGAAGCAGCTCCACTACCAGTGAATAGCTCGAGAAGGTTGTCAGTATTGACATCAAACTCGAACGTTTCCGAGACCCGTCGTCGTGAATGTACGTCATACAGAAAAGCACTGCCAAATAAAGGTTCTAGATCGTCCGGCTCAATACGTAAGCTTTGAAATTCGACATAAATATATACTCCTGAGTGGGGTATGGTTGATAAGGGTAGGTTCAGTCCCCAGAGAGAGCCAGGACCAGCAATGCGAAACTCAGGAGTTTGTGATTGCTGTAGTTGTAAAAACATAATAATAACATGAGCGTATCGATAATAATGCAATGGGTAAGTTCAAAAACAGTGAAAATAGGCTAAAGATAGGATGTCGAACTTACATATTTGGGAGTATCAAAAAGTTTAAGAAGCTTGTCACAATGCGAACAGCCTGCAACAATTGGCCCCTTTTTAGATGAGCTTTTTGGATTAATTATTTCATCAAATAAGGAATCAGGTTCGAACTCCAATAATTTTTTTGACAACTGAAAAATAAAGAGAACTATTTCGTACCAGGTTATTAGACGAAACATGTACTTTCGCATCACTTTCGTATAAAGTAGGAGGAATACAAAGCCTTTCATTAGAGATAAAATGCCTTTTATTCAAATCGAAATAGCTAATATTATTTTTAAAAATGAGCTGAAATACTTTCGCTGGTAAACTGTACAGGAAGAAGTGTAAGAGGAAATACATTCTCTGACTATACCATCAGGTATATTAGAGCTAAAAATATAGCAAGTAAAATAGTTACAAATCTGGAGGCAAATGGGCGGCGCAG